TCTCAGAAACACCACCACTCCCACCAGAAAAACCTCACTTATGTTTCCTTAAAAAAAAAACACAACAGGGCTGGGGTTTAGCTCAGTGGTGCCACACCTGCCTCCCAAGTGCAAGGTCCTGAGTTTGATCCCCAGTACAAAAAAAAATTAAACACAATTGCTGGTGTGGTGGTGCATGCCTGTAATCTCAGCACTTGGGAGGCAGAGGCAGGAGGATCGACGAGAGTTTGAGACTAGCCTGGGTTAGACAGTGAGTTCAGGACCAGCCTGAACTGCAAAGCAAGACCCTGTCTCAAAAAACAAACAAACAAACAAACAAAAACATTAAACACAATTACTATGTGACCTGGCATTCCCACTTCTGGGTGATAGGGAGTCAGTGTTTAATGGGCACAGAGCTTCAGTTTCGTGAGGTAGAAAGTTCTGGAGACAGACATGTGTGAATGTGTTTAATACCCCTGAACTGTGCACTTAAACATGATTCAAGTGGAAAATGCCACGTGCATTGGGGGGGGGGGCGTGTAGAGTCTCACTATATAGTTCAGGTTGGCCTCAAACCTAAGGTGATCCTCCTGTCTCAGCCTCCAGAGTGCTGGAATTACTGGTGTGGACCATCATGGCTGGCTTATCATGTGCATTTTACTGCAGTTTTAAAATCTTGCTCATACATGAAGATTTGTGCAGGCAGACATGGGCTTGCTGCTCCCTGAGTCTGGAGCCTTCCCACCTCCTCCCTGTGTGAGACACTGTGGCTCACAGCTCTGCATGGGGTCTTGGTGTGCTCAGGGTTTTGCCATCACTTTAAGCCATGCCACATGTAGCTGCACATGTACCAGAGGTCACTCAGCCAGATGGAAGGTTGAAGGCACAGAAAGGAGGAGCTATGTGAACTCAGAGGAGGTGGGGTGAAGTGGGCCACACCAAGGAGTACCTGCAGCCAGCCCCAGGAGCTGGACAGAGTAGGTACAAGTGCCCTGAGGACCTACCACACCTCAATTTCGGACTTCTGGCCTGACTTGTGGAACTGGGAGTCAGTTTCTGTTTTAAGTCATCTCTCCACCCTAGGCCGCCAGGGGTGGTTTGTTTGGCAGCCCCAGATATGGTGTGGTCTCCCACTCCCACCCTACCTGGCGTGTACACCTGGGGCCAGACTTGGGGTATCAGCTGGCCATGGCTGCTAAGATCAGGAAAGGCCTCCCAGGGGTGTGTGTGCTGGGGATTGAACCCAGGGCCTTGTGCACACTAGGCAAGTGCTGTACCACTGTACCCACCAGCTCCCAGGCTCTTTGAGGTGTTTTCTAGGCTGAGTTGTCTAGATCAGCAGTCTCTCTTCCTTCCCAGGCTGGACAAGGGGCACGGGTACTACACATGCTTCAGAGGTCTAGAATCTGGACGGAATCCCTACCAGGGGCAGGCAGGGAGTCTTAGAACTTGAGTGGACATGGCACTGTGGGAGATGAAGGTGCCTGTCAGCCCTGGTGCCTGGCTTTGGGCCTCTGAGGGCAGGGAAGGAGGTTGAGACATGTTTCAAGGTGGCCCTGAAGAGGTGGCTGGTGGAGGACTTTAGAGAGAATGAAGGCCAATGGTTCTCAAGGTGCTGGCAGGATAGATCTCTTCAGAGGCTTCGGGAGGCTGTGTCCCTTCAACCTCCGTATCAGCCCTCATAGACCTTCTCTGCCTGCTTTTGGGACCACAGTGACATCTGATGGCCCAGAATCATTTCCCACCTCAAGGTCCCCTCAACCTGGTCACCTCTGCCTTTCTGGGGACCGGGACCTTCTGGGCACCTGCCCTTCTCTCCCACACAGAACAAGCCTAGTGGTGGGCCCTTGTTGTTCGCAGCTCTTGTTTCAAACTGTCCAGGACTGGACCTCTCCTGAGCTACACTGGGCACTCCCAGTGCCCACTGCAGTCTTCTGCTAAATGAGGAAAGAGCCAGCTGTTCCCAGCCCCGCCCTGAGGTGACTCCAAGGACAAGGTGTGGAGGCACATTTCACAGCTCCTCTCTCCCACCCCACTGGAAAGGGAATGGCAGCCCAGCAAGGGTGGGATTTTCAAGGCCAGTCTGTCATAGCCACAAGGGGCCATCTGTCCTGTTCCCCAGGCTAGACCCTATCATGGGTCCCAGAGTCCTTGTCCTGCCAGAAATGGGTGGGACAGGGTGAGACCCAAATGCTTCCTTATGTCCTTTCTAGTGGCCTCATCCTGGGGACCAGATACCAGGACAGGCAGTCTGTAGGCACCCTGACCTCATACTCCCAGGGCTGAGGCCAAGAGGCCATCCTCCTGCTTGGGACTAGGGGGAGGGTTGCAGAGACAGCCCTGTTAGGCTCTGGGAAGGCAAGTGCTGGCTATGGGGCTTGGGGAGGTGAGCACTGGCCCACACCAGATCTCCTGCACCTGTGTGAGCTGCCCTTGTGTGCCTGTATGTTGGGTTGTCATGGAAAGTAACATCCAGCCACCACCCTTGGGAGTGGTGAGCCATCATGACCCAGTGGTGAATGGCAGAGGTGACAGTCTGGTGGGCGGGACTCTACCCAGGCACACCAAAGTGTACTGGGCACCAGGCAGCAGTGTACCCACAGCCAGCCTTGCAGGCATGGACAGGTGGCCAGGCTGTGGGCAGCCCACTGTGGGGGCTACAGATCCCCACTCAAGGAGAAAGCAGAATCTTAAGTACAATCACTCTACTTTGGGAAGCTTTTGAAAAATAAGCCTGAGGTCTGTCTTACACACAACCAGAGGTAGCAGCTTTTGCTTTTGTTTTAGGGTACAAGCAAATTGACTTAAAAAAATACAAAAGCAAGAAAGTAAAAGATATAAAGGCAAGGAAGTAAAGCTCCTGCTAGCTAGGAGGGGGCCCTGAGTAGGATACCCCAGGAGGTAGCAGCTTTAAGGTGACTGCTCTGCACCTTTGTGGCCACCCCCACTCTCCATGTGGCCCCTGCAGATGCTCCTGAGCACAGCAGTCGGCTGACCCAAGGCTCTGCACTCAGTCTGCGGCTGATGAAAGTGAGTCTCAATTGGTGCACCTGTGACATGGGAGATTTGGGCCTGATGGGAAGGGGCCTAAGGGACAGGTGTGGGGTGCACATAAGTGAAATGCCACAGAGAGGGCAGAGGCAGCTCTTCATGCCCTTCAGGAACAAGACCCCTGGAAGAGCATCATCCCAGCATGGGCCATAGTGAGCTGAGTGGATGATGAACTTCCAACCCCACCCAGCTAGGGGTCCTGGGCAGTAAGAGTAGTAGGTTAGGGCAGAGGAGCAGCTTTCCTCTCACTCAGGCAGGGCTGCCAAGTCCCACCTTCCTGGTGGCCTGGCTGGTGCTTCTGGGGAAACTTCTCAGCCAACCCCACAATCATCTCCAGCCCTAGCTGGATAGGTCATCGTGACATGTTTGTCAGTGGCCAGTAAAAGGATGGTTCTGGGCTCCTTGGCCACTGGATGACCACCTTTCCCTTTCTGTCATGCTGGGGAGCAGGCAGGACATTGGGCCAGGTACCACTTGCAACTGGCTTCCCATTTTGCCTGGATAAAAAGCAGCACTGCCCAGTTGTCCCCCTCACTGTTCCTCATAAGGCAGCTTGGTCTTGAGCAGCACTAGGGTGTCACAGAACAGATCCAGTCCACTTGCTGGGGCCTGACCCCTAGTAGGCCTGCTCTGCTTCTCTGTCCCTCCAATCTGCCGGACACCTACCTGCCAGGTGTGCTCATCCCCACACATGCTTGTGTGGACCCAGGGACAAAAGTGACACTGCTTCTTGTATCTCCAGTGTCTTCTCAGGCCCTCATCATCTCACCATCCTACAATCTGACCCATGCCTGAGGGCTGCAAAACAGTCACTCTGGAGCAAGGCTGACTGTCTCTGGAAAAACCAGGAGGCTGAGGCCACGGGGAGGGAGGTTTCTGGGAAAGCCCTCAGCACATCTGTGACCAGGCCAGGTGGGTCACCAGGCTTCCCAGCACTGTAACTGTCCCTGTCAATTTATCCAATCACATCACTTTGTGCAATTACTTCTGATCTCTAACTTGTGAAGCACATGTTCACAAATGGGTTCATTTTAAACACCCCAGCAGAGACTTGAGAGCTTGTGGAATTATCGAACTGCCTCCCTGGTCAGTGACTGCCCACCCCAGCACAACCCAACCATCCTAGGTGGGCAGTGAGGGGCACTACCCCCAAGCCTGTAGACTCTTCCTAAGGGCTGTCATCTGGGGGAATGGTCCCTGGCTCATAGGCAGCCAGGGAGATGCAGAGTTCCCCTGGCACTTCATGGGATGAGGACAAGCGTGGGGGTGGGGAGGTGGGTGCGGTCACATCCTGCTGCTGCCCCTGGGGGCCATGTTGCAGGCACATCTACATCTAAGCCTATATCCAGCTCCTTGCAGCCTTTCTGGTGGCCACCAGGACCCTCTGCCTTCTTGCTGCTCCCAGGGAGAAGGCAGCCATACACAGGTGGGCCAGGGACCATGGCAGGAAGAAGGGCTGGCTGGCCATGTGGAGAGGTGCGAGCTGGCTCCACAGCCACCTTCTCCTGGACATGGTTTCAGCTTAGGATTCCCAAGGTTAGGTCACTGAGCAAGAGCCTGTGCAGCAAGTGTTTCTGGGTGGATCTCTTCCCTCTCATTAAGGAGAGGAAGAGAGGAAAGGACCTCAAGAAGATATCCCATATGGGGTTTGTGAGGCAGCTCCCCTCCTGGACTCTTCTGGGGCTACAAGGCTCACCCCATGAGGTCCGGGGTCATGTCTCACAGCTCTTCCTGCAGGAGCCAAGGACTTGCTCCATATCAGATGAGCCCGAAAGGGCAGGAGACAGTAGATCTGTGGACAAACTAAATGTAGCCTCCCCCTAAAAGAGAGCTTTCAAAGCCTCAATGACAAAATGTGAAGCCAGATGACTGCAAGGACTCACAGGCAACAGGGGCTTACAGCCCAGCACTTGTGAGCTGTCATGAGGGGATAAAGGCTATACACAAAGACCCCACACAGTACCAGCTTCATGTTTCACATCTTTAATAGAATATTCTAACTATTCTGTACAAATTGAAAACACCGTATTCAGTTACAAATGTGTTATCAGGTAAGGCTGAGCACTCTCTACATGCCTGGTCAGTGTGGACACAACTGTCCCCAGGTGCCAGAGACCACTGCCACATACTCAAAAACCCCACACACCAGCCACCAACCAGTCACACCAAACCCAGGGCTCTTAAGACAGGATGAATGGTGGAGTCCAGAAATGGGGGTTACCAAGAAAGCAAGATGTAACATTCACACATTGGATTGAAAAGCTGCACTCTGCAGCCCCTCCCATCCCCAAAGACCTTCCAACAGTAACATGTGGTCTGCATGTCATAGAACAAGCTCCTGCCCTCAGCAGCTGGCTGCAGGAAGCAGCACAAGCCATGCTCCTGCTAGGAGATGGCACACCCTCCTCCTGGTCAAGTCGGCGATATGGTTTCATCAATGGAAAGGATGAACAACAGTGTAAATTCAAAGTCCTCCAAGCACAATGAATAAATAAATACAAGGGTATCATTACAGCTCCTGCCTCAGAGAAGGTGTGTACCACAACCCACCCAACCCCTAGCAAACTAAAACACAAGAAAAACACTCTAAGTGAACACGGCCTTACTTTACTCAGCTCTTCTGAGATGATTAGGATATAATGGCTGAAGCAGCTTCCGAGCAGTAGGGTCAGTGGTGGAAACTGGGGTTTCTTTGAATCAAAGGGAGGGACTCAGCCAGTCTGCAGAAGTGGCAGAAGAGGCTCTGGGAGCCCTGAAACTGAGTCCCCAGACCCCTGCCCTTTCCAGGAGTGACTCCCCCATCCCACATGGTGTATGGACCTTCTCAAGGGCAGGGCCTAGGCAGGTCCAGGGCCGCAGGCACCAAGGCCACAGAGGGTGCTAGAACTAAACCTCCTATTTCTGAAATGCATTTCAGTTGCCACTGTACAGGTTAAGCAAAATAAAAAGGAAAAGTGAAAATCATGCACTTGAAAACTCATTAGATGTTATAAGCAGTCCATATGTTTTGCTGCAGCATGGCCTGAGGGCCTGCCACAGCTGGGTCCTGACAGCCATTGCCGAGGTGGCCGCTCCTCACTGCTGCTTGCATTCCGCTGGCTGGCTGGGCTCTTTCTGCAATGAGAAGACAAGACTTATAGAGAACAAAACTAGTGCTATCCACCAATTATCCCCAACCCACAATGAAAACCAAAACTCAGTTCATTCATTCTTACTGAAAAAATGGTAGCTTTTTAAAAACTAATTCCCCAAGGAAAAGTCACAGTGGAAATGCCTTTTTGGAAATGCCTTGTTTGGTTAAACAGGAGGGTCTCCTTGGGGCCGCAAAGATAAATTACTACTAGACGGGGGTTCCATCTAAGATGAAGCAGTGATGGCTGGATGCCTGCCAGGACTCTCTCTGCCTTGGGGGCAGGTGCAGAGTCATGCCATGCTCAGGCCCACAGGCCTCATCTTTGAAGTATAGCTCTGTTCCAGGAAGGGCTGTGCTCTGATGTTGAGGGAAGGCATCCCTTCTAGTGGAGCCTCCTCTTTTCACTCTAGGAAAAGCACCTGGGCAGATTCTCACTATTGACAGACTAGAGTCTGGTCACCACGAAGAGCTGCACCCACCACACACAACTCACAGAGAAAATTAAAATCCTTCCAATACAGGCATCCAGGAAATGTTCCTCGCCAGGAGAGCAACTTAATAAAACCTGATGCAAAAACCTTGTACATTTTCAACCATGTTTAGGGCCCCATGGGTTTTGTGTGGAGTCCAACAATAGTCTAAGAAATAGATAATGATCTTACCACTACTTCTGTATACTAACCTAGTACCCAAAATTCCTGGTAGTTGACATTAAATTACTCTGACTACAACTAAGCAAGCCTACAGTGTTGCTAAGAAAATCTTGCACTATATGGTTCAAATGAACATCTGGGCAACACTACTAACACCTTTTATAAGAAGTTAACACTTAAAGGATGGAAAAATACGTATAAAGCAGGCATAAATGCACCAAGGAAGAACCTTGGGCCCTCATCTAAGCTCTGTTTCTAGGTGGAATGGAAAGGGCACAAGAACAAGCTCAAATTCTCCAGCTCTGGGCTTAGGTCTCTGTCTAGCACAGTAGCATGCCTCTCTAGGAAGGGACCCCCAAACTCCTTGCCTGTGCTCAGCTGCCCTGTAGGCTGTCCAAGGAGTCCAGGACTAGGACTAAAAGGAATGACAAAAACTTGAGCTAAAATGATACTAAACAAGTTCCATACTGAACCACAGGCAGCCCAGTGAGGTGTCCAAGGGCACAAGGATAAGCAGTATGCACCAGGGAGAGGACTGTGTGCTATCAAATGGGGACTGGGGTAGAAGACAGAAGCCAAAACCAAGACTTGGCTCAAGGGTAAAGCACTTGCTTAGCATGCATGAAGCATTGGTTTCCATCACTAGCACAACAAAGGGGGGGAAATCAGAGGATTTTGTTAAGTTCGAAGGTGAGGGGATGGGAGTCTCTATATTACTAAGTATATATGAATTAAACATAACATCACTAACACTGAATACCATATAGTTTGTCCTATGCTGAATAAATAAAGTCAAATTATTCTACCACAACAACACAGTACCTATTTATCTTAAAACCAAGGCTGGGGGGTGTAGCACAGTGGCAGAGGGTATGTTAAGCATATGAGAGGACCTGGCTTCAGTCACCCTCACCAAAAGAACCCACCAAGAAAACAAAAAAACCACTAACTTATGTGATGAAGACTGCCAGTGGGGAAAAGTCCTCACTAAAACATACAATGCCTGACAAGGCCATGTGGGTGAGAAGTCATAGGAAAGGCATGTATATGGGTCTGTGAAGAACACCCTAGACCTAGAGAGGAGCCGCCTCCTTTCTGAGCAGGAGGGCAGCCTGCAACCCCGCCCCCCCCCAGCCCCCCACCAAGCTGGAGCCAGTGCACTGCACTGGAGCTTCTGCATGTGGGTGACAAGAGCTCTGGAAGTGAATTTTATGCATCTGTTTTTACTGTTTTGGGCCTGTGATATAAGCCAGGAAAACACACACACACCCCTAAACCCAAGCATCCTCTGTCATGTCATGGATTTTGATGACAGCCTGGTCACTCAGTGCTAACTTGATTGCCAAGGGAGGGTGTCAGCTTTTTCAGAGGTAGCAATTCAGCCAAAAACTTGCCCACTGCGGGACCACCAAAGGTAGGGTTTTGACAGACCAGAGAGCCTGAAAGGGTGGAAGACAGGCCACTAACACAGAAGTACAGCAGCTGTACTGTGGAAGGAGGCCATGCGCAAAGCCTGAGCACTGATTGGCCGGGGGACACAGCCTAAGCTGGTGGTGCCACTGTGGCTTCAGTAAAAGAAGGCCCCTACCTCTCAGAGTGCTGACCACTGATAGGTGGCATGCACCTAGGATTGGCTTCAGAACAACTGCTGGGATGGATCCCAGGCCCAGGAGACCTATGGGACTGGGCTGTGGTTTCCCAACAGGTAAGAGCCATTTCTGACTCTGGCTGTGCCACCTACCCATTAGGACGGAGCACAGGGTGGAGGTGGTGCCCCAGCTCACTGATCTCACTCTGCTTACAGGTGGCTCTTTCCTCATTCAATCAGAACAATGCCACTGGCCTCACAACAGCACTTTTTACTGCCTATACTGAAACAAATGCCAGTGACTCTTTTGTTAAAAAATGGGCATATTACATTTGGTTACCCCTTTGTCTACCTACTGGTTTACAAAATGCCTGATTCATTAAATATAAACATCCAGATGTGTGGAAACTCCAGGGGGCCAGCTTCTAGTGTCTGATCCTGTTGTGTACCCAGCATAGCTGGGGACAGCAAGAGTGTGATGGTCTCTACCAGGGCTGCTCAGCCATGGTGGCTTCAGTGGCCATCCTGCAAGCTGCTGCCAGGGCCTCCTATCTTGTCCTGTCCTATTCTTGGAGATCAGTACTATTATCAATGCTACCTGATTGCTACTTAGGTTAGCAAGAAATCATGGGTTCAGAAAGCAGAAGACAAATCCAATTTGTTTTTGTTGATTTTAGAAGCACAGCTAAGATAGCCTTGTACAAACACTGCTCCTCGGAAAGCCCTGTGGCAGCCCTTCTACATGCCAAATGTGCCTGGAAGGTCACTTCTTGTGTCCCTAAAGTCAAAGCAATGCATTGTACAAAGTACAGACTAACAATTGCAAGTTATGAATGGATTCCACCTTACCTAGGAACGTATGAATGATTAACAGACAAAAATTACACCTAAATGGGGAAAAAAATTGAAAGGAACTGTCAGCATGAAAGAAAATGAAATGCACAAAATTATACAGGAGGAAACAGCCACAATTCTCATGATACACAGGGGCTGCAAAGAACTAAATGTGGGCAACTTCAACAAAGCAGAGTTGTTCCTCAAAATGGCCAGAACATATTGTCTACACTCATGACAGCACCAATATTCTTCCCTTCCTCGTCTTGCTTGCACAGGTTCCACTGTTAGCAATCACTTTGAACAGGTGCACGTGAAGGAAGGGACAGAGATGTCACATCACAAGCTAAGACAGCAGGACAATCTTTTGGGCTGCCCATGCAGCAGCTTCCCACTGTACACAGCTAGCACACATATGGCTCTAGCTACTTCTCCCCACCCTAACCAGGCTTCCAGAGATGCTGGCAGTGTGACTCACTACCTTATGTCAATTCTCTGTGATCACAAGGTGAGATGCTCCTTTAGAAGACAGGGACCTGTGAGGAGACAGAGTGACAGAAGGATGAACACACAACAGGGAGAAGAGAAAGAAAGGAAAAGGAGCCAAGGAACAGAACCTACAGAGACACAGTGAGACAAGTACTGCACAGAGGCCAAGGGTGCTCTGGGTCTGAGTATGGACACAGCAAGCTGTCACCAGTCTGTTCTCCACCAACTGCAACCAAAACAGGTGTAGTACCCAGACACCAGACACAGGCCAATACACACATCTGGCCTTCGGGTCCACCACATGCCCACGGAGCAGCTGAAGGTGTCACTAGTTACCCCAACACTGCTGACCAGTGGCCACCACCTTCCCTGTCCCTGCCTGACTGTATTTCACCCAAGGAGCGACCCAGCCCCATCTATGGGGCTGAGCACAGGTGAGACTGTAGCAGACTCTCCAAGATGTACAAGCCAACTTTAAAGGAGAGACTTTTCCAAAAGCTCATTCTCAGAGTGGTATTTTTAAGGCACATTTCTGAAAAGTCAAGCCCTTCTCCCGGCCTTCCTGAGGGGACCGCTGTGTACATGCATTTAGGGAAACATGCAGGTGACACACTGACTCAGGTCCCAAGTCGTGGCCCTGGTAGCTTCTAGTGAACATTCCACGTAAGGCAAATGAGGTACAAATGAAAAACAGCTGAATAGAGACACACGTAACAGAAACAAAAGTTAATGGTTTACTCTGACAGCCCATCACTGTTGTCCTAAAACACATGAGAGCTGTACATTCTGCGTGCTTCAGGAAGGGAGAGAGACTCCCTGCTGCAGCTTTGGGGACCAGCAAAAATGTGGCCCAATGCCACAGCCCCTCGACTAAGGCCACAAATTAAAACCCAAATTTACAGGTTAATTAATGAAGTTGCCCACTTGTTTTTCTTTTAAATGTCAGTTTTCTGTAGCAAACCTTCCCATTTGTTTAAAGTTACCTGAGATAGAGGTGTGACTGAAAAATGGTGTTTACATTTTTTAAATTACAATAAAAGATACACTGCCATGAATCTTCCTCAAAATACTCCCCTTTACTTCAAATTCATTTATCCCATCATTCTTGCCACTTTGTGAAGTAGTTCTGGAAGTCTTTCCTCACGTCTTTAGTCGCTATGTTGTGGCTACCTTGATGTCCTGAATAGATTCAGTATGTTTCCCTTACATGGTTGTTTTGACTTTGCGGACGAGTCAGAACCTGTATGGTGCTAGATTTGGTAAGGTGGATGAGGACATACCATAAGCCTGCATTTCTATTGAATGGCACTCAGCAGAAGCACCTATCATATTTTGATAATGCCTTATAAGAGACTCACAAAAAAGGGAGTTCTAGAACTGCTTCAGGAAGTAGTAAGAATAGCCAGGTGTCATGACATATGCTTGTAATCCCAGCACTCAGGAGGCTAAGGCAGGACTGTGCAAAGTTTGGGGCCAGCCTGGGCTACATAGAGAGTTCAAGACCAGCCTACAGTACACAGCAAGACCATGTCTCAAGAACAAAAAACAGGGCCGGGAATTTAGCTCAGTGGTTCTGCCGCCTGCCTCACAAACGCAAGGTCCCGAGTTTGATCCCCGGTACCAAAAAAACAACAAAAAACCCCACCAAAAACAAAAAACCCCAGCAAACCCCCAAAAGTGGCAAAAACAATGGGGAAAGTGTGTTCAAAGAAAGGAGTATTTTGAGGGGAATTAATGGCAATGTGTCTTTTATTGAAATAAATGTGAACATTCACCAGATTTTGTGATTGTCCCTTATATACCCTAAGCTATCTAGGGCATTCTGAGTCTCTTATGTTCAAGTGCTATAAAATTATACCTAAAGTCCTATTATTTTAATCATTAATAACATACCCCCAAAAGTCCCTTCCTGTACCTTTTTCAAACACAGGCAAGTTCTTTCTCTAGAATTAAAGATCTGGAAACTAAAGATGTTTTACTAAGTGAGGCAATACAGATATCACACAGCTTGGTGTAGCTGAAAAGCACTTTCCTGAACATTTATACCTAACAACCCAGTCATGTGTACATTGTTAAAGTTATTCATTTAAGTGTTTTTCTGCTGTATTTCAAGTTTTCTAATTAGAAAACAATAAATACATATTTTAAACACCACTGCCTCAAAGTGAGGATCATTTTAAAAAGTCCAATAGTGTAGTATATGTAGGTTTGGGAAGCCCCAAAATAACTAACCTTGGGGTTAATTTCAGCATCGTCCTCATCTTCTCCCTCCTCATCACCTTCTAATTCCTGTAAGAGAAGAAGTGAGAATTAGCTAGAAAGACTAATTTAAGGCTGGATTTAACCTCTTATAGAGTTTACTACTCACAAACACAAGAAAATAATCCTTTGCTTTAGAAGGAAGCCAAATGCTGCTACAAACCAGTGACTACGTCACTTCCTTCAGTCACATAATTACTCCTAGATATCTTTTTAAGATAATCTTTGAAAAGTAGATTTATTTAAGTGATTATTTTCTAAGGTACATTTTTATAAACCAAATATAGGGGCACTGCTGCGGTCTGTGCCATGCATTCCCTCCCAGTTAAGCAGGGCTGAAAGCCAACAGTGGCTTCATACAGAAAAAGCATTAAAGTAGTCTGATTTCATGACTTCAGAGAAAGCCAGAGAACATGCGACAGAGGGAATGACATTCCATGTAATCTGTTTCTTACCTCCTCTTCGCCTTCCTCACCTTCTTCAAACTGGAGGGAGGAAAAATCCAGGTAAACATTTTTAGGTTTATAAAACCATAATGGTAGCCTGCCCCAGGTGCCAGCCCCATCAAGTGCCCTCACCAGCCTGGCTAGAGAGAGCAGGAAGCCCAGCTGTTGCTTGCTGGGCCAAAGCAGTGCTGGCACCACTCAGATACCTGAAGGCAGAGAGGCTGCAGTCCCTGGCTGAAGGGCCATGTGCTTATGAGTTTTGCCTTTTCACAGGATGCACAAAACTGAGTCAGGAAATGAGGAGGATGGGGAAAAGCAACAAAGAAGCTGCCAGCCAGGGCGTGCTGGATCCATCTGTGAACCAGGCCCTATGACTCCAGTCCCACTATTGTCTTCAGAGAGAGGCAGGGAAGTAAGGAGAAGATACATACAAGGTGATGAGTTTTTTCTTAATTTTCTGCACAGTTGACCTAAGTAAACCAGCAGCATAATTTTACTGCATATGGGAATTTTGGTATCATTTTATATCTCATACAAGGGGGAAAAAAAACCTTTATTAAGTAACATATAATTAAAACCTTGGTGTTTAATCTTTGCAACAAGTCACAACTAAGTGCTCAAAGGATAACCCCTAACATTATAGCTTGTTGGTATTGAATCAATTTCTCCTCCATCCCAGTCAGACTCAGATTCACATTCCAAAATGAGATGACCCCAAAAGTAAAAGCTAATGCCACAGCAACCGCATCACTACTGGCTACACAACCAGGGCATACAGAAATCCAGTAGGTTTTTCATTTACAAACATTCCTTTTCTTCAGATTACTCAGGTAGTCCTTAAGTAATATTTAAGCAGAATCTGGAAATATCCTGCCATGCTGGTGTGGTCCACATTAAATGGCACCCAGAGCCTGAATGCCTCATAGCAACCAGGGTGGGGCATGGCTGTAGAGGAGCACCTTTCCTACATATCCTAACAGGCCTCTAAGAGAGATGAGACTTAACAGTCTTACACTTTACAAGTCAGATCCAACTTAGCATCCAGCATCAACTTTCTACTCCAGCATTTCACTGCTGGTGAACCTGTCTTCTGAAGATGCTCTGGGAGGGGCCTCTCCCAAGTGTGCCTCACACTTGTGCAGAACATACAGGAAGATAGGACCAGGGCGCTTACAATCTTTTCTTCCTTCAACTCTCTAGTTTTAGTTTATGATTCAGCTAAAATTACTAAAATGTTTTTTATACCAACACATAGTAATACCCTGTGTGCCAGGAACTATTCCAAGTATTTGACAAGAGGAGCCACTGCCATTAGCACCACTTTAGAGACAAAACATTGAAGTACAGAGGTCACATAACTACTAAGAGGCAGAATGAGGACCTATCTAAGTAGCTGGATAAGCTGGGACTTTTAACCTCTAGACCACATGGCTCACTAGCAGTGCATGCACCAAGCATACAGGTGACCAGGCACACATGCACAAGCATGCCACCATCTTGATAGTGCCTGCACTCTAAGCACAAGCATGCCACCATCCTGACACTGCCCCACTGCCTATGTGGGTCTTTCAAATTGATGGGTGTATGATCAAGAGCATCTGCAGACCACTGGTCTGGGGATGAGATTTCCAATGACCACAGGGATGACCTTTGGCCCTTGGTGGGCTATTTGCACTAAATTAACCTAAACATTAGTTCCTCAGTCATAAAGCGGCACATGTGGTCAGTCCTACTGCATTAGACAGAGTAGAAAGGAAGAAAGAGAGGTTTAGAATTATGTTAACAGTGTGTCCTAAAACCTAAGTCTCTGTGACTATCCTGTTGCTCCAGGGACCCAACGCTGCTGAGTCCCGACATCACTACCACCTCAGCCTGGGGATAAGCAAGCAAGGTCAGATGATAGATACATATAAGACTTCTCAGCTGACGCACACCGGACTGCCTGCACTACTGCTGCTAGGGGAGCCTTAGCATCCCAGGTGAGGTATGCAAAGCACACCATCATTGCCTCAAGGGGCCAGGCTCCCAGACCCAACCTGAGCTCTGGTGACCTACCTAAAACCCCAACAGACTCATTAGGAAGTGAACCTAAGAGCTCCAAAAGCAAGAGAGCATTCGGTTGCTAACAAACTATCTCTACAGATTGATAATTCAAGACAACCCAATCCTTGGCCACGACTGTCTCAGCCTTAGCTAAAATGGGGAACTATCTGCTAAGCAATCCTCAGGGCCTGTCTTGTGGGACAGGGGTCTATTCCTTCCGTTTGCTGTGTCCCAGACCAACATGTGTTTGGTGCGGCCAAAGATTTCCTCATGCTCAAGAGTTCTCCAAATCTTGCAAGCCTTCTAAGGATACAGCACACCCTCAGGGTCTTCACAGGTCATAGTGCCATAGGTGACTGGGAGTCAAATCCCTCACAGATATGTGCCTCTAAGATTCTCTTCTTCCTAGTCTATTTCCCTAGCAGGGACCACTGGTTGTATATAACACAAATCTTAGGCTTTGGGGCTTCCCAGGCCACTGTTCAGGGCTTCTTTCCACCCACAGAGGGAAGCATGACGGGGTAACCCCCCTTTGTATCCCTGAGCCACATACATTGTCATCATCTTCTATGGCCTCCCCAGTGAAGTAGAGCACAGCCCGCGGCACTATTCGCTCACGGAAAAAGTGTCCGATTTCAAAATCTGAGGCTAACGTGAATTCAGACTCTTCATCCTGAGGGAAAAATCAAAATGTTAACTCATTTCAGTGGGAAAAACTCATTTACTCAACCCTTTTAACCAAGTCTAACCCCACACTCTGGTTTACTGGACCTTAAACAACAAAACCCTACACTGATGGGTGACAGTCACCACATACATACTCAGCCACCTGAGACAACCTTAAGCAGCTTAAGAGGAACTCAAAAACAAAATGGCAAAGCAGGTAGGCAATGCAGGCCTGTAGCTCCTCCATCTGCCTGCTCCTGAAGCCAATGTACAGAGCTCCCCACCCCACAGTGTAATGACTTCATGTGTGAACCCCAGGATCCCAGGAAACAGGGATTAAAAAGAGTAGGCACCCACTCAGGAAACAGACTTTAACAGGACAACAAGACAACAACACAAATCTTACCAGTGATTCGCCATCCCCAGAGGCTAGAAAAAAGAAAAGACAAAACATATCTACATTACACTGACAACCAAAAAAATTAAAAGGCCACAAAGAGGAAGCTTAGCTAGCACAAAATGGACATTTCACAGCCCGAGGGCTTGGCCAGATGTCACCTAAGCTCTGTAACTACTCACAGATGCCTTTGTAAGCTCCTCCACCACATACTAAAATTGATGCCCTGTCTCCACCTTGGCCATGCATGGGTTGCTATCCAAGGTGTTGTGATAACCCACCTGACTCCATCTTGAGCCTCACCACCACTGTGTGCTTGTGCTTGGACAAAGCACCCAAAACCCACACTGTGTTTGGCAGAACACTTGCTGCGGTTGCAAGTTGTTTTTTTGTAGCTCACCTAGTATGTGAAACTTCCTCTTGCCCCCTTTAACCTGGCATGGTTCTGCTTCTGTAAAATTCCACTTGCTCTCCCTTTGAGCCCTCCCCAACTGAAAGCATGGTTTAGAAGGAGAAATCCAACCGCTTCTCAGTGCCGAGAGATCTTTCCAGGCACTAGCCTCTCTCGGTCACCAGCTTTGAATAAACAGTCTCAAATCTGACTCAAGAGTGTGGCGCATCTCTATATAGAACAGTGTGGTTTTGTTTTGATTTTGTTTTTGAGATGGGGTCTTGCTGTGCTACCCAAGCTAGCCATAAATTCATGATCCTCCTACTTGTTTCCCAAACTGGTGAGATTATATGTGTATCCCACTATGCCTGGCTTAGTCATGTGTTATAGTTTAGATCTAAAATGGCCCCCAGGGCCAGGAATTTAGCTCAGTGGTTCTGCTGCCTGCCTTGCAAGCGCAAGGTCCCGAGTTCTATCCCCAGTACCAATCCCCCCCTGAAAAAACCACAAAATAAAATGGCCCCCAAAGCCTCATATGTTTTGAAGGTGATTGGATTACTGGGGGATGGTATAGCTTCCTTGGTGTTAGGAGGTGGGGCCTGATCAGAAGAGGTGGCTCACTGGGGCCATGCATGACCTACAAGGGCGTTATCTCCCTCTGACTTTTTCCTTTACCCTTTGCTTTTCTGCCACCATGAAGTAAGCAGCTTTCCTCTGCCAGACCCTTCCACCATGCCTTCCTGCCTTGGAGCCAGCCAACTATGGCCTAAAAATGTGAGCCAAGATAAACCTCTCCTCCTTTAAGCTGCAGATATTGGGCATTTTGTCCCAGCAATGAGAAAAGTTATAAGACACCATGCTTTTTATAGACCCTATGGAAAGCTATGGAAAACCAAGGTTCAGAAATCTATGAGGGTTGAAGGGCAAACAGGAAGAAAGTCCTCTCAGTGCCCCAGGCTGCCACTGAGTGCATTAATACTGCATGGGGAAGATATATCCATACCTGTGGAACTATTGTAGTACAGGTAAAGACATAGGAGCAAGAAACCTCAAACCCATGTGCACAAAGTACCACTGAGGTGTTTGCTGATGCCCTCTACAGAAGGGCATAGCTCCTCCCCAAAGATGATGCTCAGATGCAGTCAACACACACAAGACCATGCAGACTTTGGTGCTGACACCGAACCAGGCAGGACAGGAACAACAGGGACTTGTAACCACACCCCACCAAGTTGAGCTGACAGTCACATGATATACAATTTAGACCCCTAGCCAAAGAGTTGTGTTACAAGGCCTCAGCTTCAAGCAATTGAACTGTTCAGTGTGGAGACATGGTAGTTAAGTGTGGATATCACCCACAAGGTGTCGATGCCATGTGGGGAAGGCAGAGGGTCAGAATCTGGGCTGCCTTCACCCTGGGCCACAAGGAGTCTCAGCAAGTGGTTTCTAGACTGGTTGTTGATGTAAGGACAGACAGGCAGCTGGGCTAGCTACTTAATATTTCCTTCATTTCAAAACAAGTCATCAATTTTGTCTTGTCTGTCCACTGCCTCCTACCCCATCATCCTCCCTTCTAATTCACAGCACTCATTACTCGATCCTGTATTGTGTATTAACCTGCTTATTTTAAAAATAGCATTATTGAGGTACAATTTACATACCATAAATCCACTTTGAAGGTACAGTCTAATAACTTGGTAAATTAATTTTAGATTTGGGCAATCATCACCATAAAACAATTTTAGAACATCAAAAATCACCCCAAAATTCCCAATTTGCTTATCAATTCCATTCTTAGTCTAAAAGTTATTTTAAAACCAGTTTTAAGGAAACTTCTTATGAGCTGGGTGTGGTGGTACAAAACTGTAATCCCAGCACCCTTAAGGAGGCTGAGGCAGGAGGATCAAAAATGAGGCCATGCTGGGGATTTAGCTCAGTGTGCCTGCTTCCCAAAGGCCAGGTCCCCAGTTTGATCCCCCCTCCTACCAAGAAAAAAAAAAAAAGTTGAGGCCAGCCTGAGCAACTTTGTGAGACCTTGTTGTTCTCCTCCTCGCCCCCCAAAAAAGGGCTGGGGATGTATTTCAGTGTGAATGCCTGCAAAAAACAAAAGAAAAACAACTTGCAGGCACTGGGTCCAGGACTGAAAGCCCCTCTACTTCAGGGGTACTTAACACAGATATCCTTCAATATACTCAATGCAAGGTTTCAAAAGGAATTTTTCCAAACAGGGAAACTTGGGCATAAAACTTATGATTGTTCTTACACGCCAAACCTTTTAGGTCCAAGTCAAATTGTAGAAAAAAAAATAGTCTCCATAGTAATAAATACTGGCCTCGCCTGTGAAGGGCAGCTTTATGGATGAGGACACTGAGTTTAGAGACAAAGCAAAACAGGCATTCCAGTCCCAGGAAAAGAGCTGCTAGAGGCCTCACACACAACTGACTGTTGGTAGTGGGAATGCTCATGTCTTCATGAAAAATAAAAAAATGGTTTTTTTGTATCCATCTTTTAACATTCCCAAGTGGTATGGCTATACATCCTCTCATGATTAGAGAATTATCTTGCAACTTAAAAAAAATATTTACTCTTCAAATTGATTACAAGTGAACCAATCCAGCATGGTGGTGCATCACCAGTAATCCCAGGAGTTAGGCAGCTGAGGCAGGAGGACTGCTGCAAGTTTGAGGCCAGCCTGGGCTACACAGTGAGTTCAAGAACAGTCTGGACTATATAGCAAGACCTTGTCTCAAAAACAAATTCCCAAAAACCCTGTGCTCTATGGAATAGTGTGTACAAAAAACAAAACAAAAAACACCTAAGAAAACTGACAAGAAAAGGGGGTTTGACAGGTGATTCAGATGCTGTGCAACAGTGATCAGCCATAGCCAGGAAGACAGAGGTAACCACTGGCTGGGTCACCTGCGGGACACACCACAACTGTCAGGGGTGGGATTGGGGTCAGCTGAGGAAGCAGCCCAGAGCAAGTGCTCCCTTCAGTTTTTAAGTGAGGTTGCATGTGTTTTCCTGAGCAGCAGTCAAATGGAGGGAAGTAAAGACTCTTTCTTCCCTTTCATGACAAAGATGATAACCTGATTCTTCCTGTCCCAGCTCCCAGCCTACAGAGCTTGCCCATGTACTAAACACAGTACCCTGGATGGAGCCATCATTGCCCACCTGAAAAGCACAGAATAGGACTGAACTTTCTAGGACACAGCTAGGAATGCAACAATACAACAAAACTTTTTCACACTAGTGCATTAATAAAAGGCCCATCTGACTTACCTTTTAGTGGGTTGAAGAAGTTGAAAAATGATTCATTGGGCACTTGTTTAGTGATTGTTCTAACAGTGCCCCGACCCTTATGCTTCTGCTTTTTCTTGATGGTTTTGACTGTAACATTTTTTCCTTTCTTCCAGTCAATAGTACACCTTCGGAGACAAGATAGCAGTTATGGAAACATACTTCTGGAGAAAAATCAATTACAATGCATATAGAAAGCAGCCTACAGCTCTATGCTTAACCTATTTGCAAACCAAGTATTACAAGGCCTCTGAAGTGCATCCAAAGGATGTCTAGTGGGAAAGGCCTGGATCCTCTTATTCTAGGTGCCTTGGCTGCCTCTGGGCAGACTTCTGAAATAACAATGGCATTATTTTTTCAGAAGTTCCATGAGGACTCTGAAGTGTGTCTTCTCTAACAAGGTCCCATCAAATCTACACAATGCACAAGAGCTTGTCATCTGCTGCCCTTGAGAGGAGAGCACACATGTAGTTACTCACTCATGTACGTGAATTCTCAAATCAACTAAGTGCGCAGGACAACAGGGGGCCACACAAATGCTGATGACCAACATAGAACACACCATCCAGGATCCCTGCCTTTGATTCTGTCACCCTGGACACAGGTGACCCCTGGCAGCAGCTGAACAATGTCTGCTCAAGAACACACTTGAAAAAGCCAGGCCCTTTCTCATACGATGGCTTGGCCCTAGGAAACAATTAATATTACCCTAGCCATTCAAATCTAGCGAGATTTTAATAAAGCCCCAGAATACTTATATGAAGAGATTTGTTTTAATGGATAGAGGTTTTATTTTGCAGTGCTGGGGATTGAACCTAGGGCCTAGCAAATGCTATGCAAATCCTCTACTACTAAACTACAACCCTATCCTGAATGAGTGTTTTAATTCAAGGATAAAACAATTTCCCAAAATCAAACCCACCAAAAGGAATTGATTCTAAGCGAAGTTCTCTCCTTGGTGGTCTATAGAGACTGAAATCAACACGAGTCAAATGGCATATAAGCTGACAATTTCCAAAGCAATCACCTGATCAATAATGACCTGCACTAACTCCTTCACCAAATACATTATTTGCATTTGAGAATTTTAACTTATCATGTCTAGAGTACATAATACCTCACTCAAGTAGAAACAGGGCATCAGCCCCAATGTTCACATCTGAAGAAGCATCATCTCCCAGCTTTGGTCACATATCTGCATTACATATGTCCAATCTGAAAGCCTACTGCATTTAAATCTTTGCTGGGCTTTCAGGAAGGTTCAAGATCTTTTATATTCTTATTTCCTATCTTTTTACTTTAAAATTCCAAAATCATCTGCTTTTGTTGCAGAAATAGAAGCCAGAAAGATATTTTCTTACCCATCACAGTCCACAATTTCAGGACCTTCAAAGGAAAAGGGGTCGGCCTTGTCTGGCTCTGACTTCATCTTGTATGTTTTTGTCAGGACTGGATTGGTAAAGTAGTCATTGGGTTCAAAGTGGAATTCTAACACAAAAGACTGAAAGCAGAAAATGAGAGTAGGGACCACTTAAACTCTAAAAGCAACCAGTGTCAAATGTCATAGGTCACATGGGCCTTCCTGGAAACTGCCCATTCAGCCCATTCCCTTTCCCTCTTTATCCCAGTCCTCACTGCTGGCAAAACCAGGGTTGCATTGTGTGCGATAAAGTGAAGGTAGTGATTCCAGATAGGAGGTGGGTGGAAGGAAAGGATAAAGCTCCCCAAGGATGAAGTGAATCCTTTTCTGTGAAGTACTCTGCAGATGTGAACAAGACATGGGTACACTGGGAAAGCGGACAAAGGATACATACAGAAAGCAGCAGCAGAAGAGACCAAATGGCTAACAAAAGAAAACACGTAAGTTACATAGACAAAAATTGAAAGACACAGCCTACTTTAGGAGCAAAATGCATAAAAATACTATGTAGGGCTGGCCAGTATTGTGAGATACTGAAAATACTCATATACTGTAAACAGATTTACAAAAGACAATATGGCAGTATCAAAAATTAATAAAATAGGAAAGTATATTCTCTGGCCCAATAATTCAACTGAAGAACTTATCCTAAATTTGAGGAAGCTGGATGGATCCATTACTATGTACAAAGAGTCTCACCTCAGTTCTGTTTATAAAGAGAAAAGGTGGGCCAGGGATTTAGCTCAGTGGTTTCGCCTGCTGCGCGCGAGCTCAAGGTCCCGAGTTCGATCCCCGGTACCAAAAAAAAAAAAAAAAGAGAGAGAAAAGGCAAAATGATCTCAATTATCTATGGGGAGTTCACAAGACTACAGATTGAATTCAGATCCTGCCTGTGCCCGTAGGTGCTGTGTGTGTTTCTAGGGAGTGTCTCATCATCTCTGTGCTCTGGGATCCTCATCTTTTAACACTGAAGGTAACAACATTCTGCCTCTCCATCAATTGTCTTCAGGGTCAATCTACAGATGTATGTACAACAGTGCCCAGTCCAGGCAAGGCTGGCCAGACCATTGTAGTAAAACTATGGGGGAGCACTTTAAAAGACTTGAACACCTTGTACACCTTTAAAACTATGTCCTCCAAAGAGGAAATGAAAAAAGAACTCTTGAGAAAAAGGTGGAAAGAGGATCAGGAGAGCTTAGGACAGAGGTGGCGAATCTATGGTATGCGTGCCACAGCGAGCTGTTTATTATCACTGAAAGCTCTAAAAGGCTTGCTATCACTGGGGCCTGGCCAGCAGCTCCTGTGACTCCCTGGAGCAGAGGGCAGGATCTTACAAACTCAAAGTTTAGCTAAGAAAACCTTCCCAAACTTCCACTGACGACCAACCCACAGAGGAGGGAGAATAAGTGGGGTGGGAGTGGGAGACTGGGAAGCTGCCTGTAGAGGTGTTTAAAGTGGGGCTGTGTGAACAGCCTGACTGAGGTTGGATCACAAATGCATTATTATGCCTGATCTTTCACCATTCCTTACTTTTAAATAGGTAGAATTATTTATTTTCTCTTATTTCCTTCCATTACATTCCTCTAAACCACATTTCTTTGTGTTTTCTTTTTTCCCCTTCCCCTCTGCCTTTGTTCAGTGCAGTCATTCAAATGCAGTTGGGGAAAACTGAAGGACTTGCTTAACCACCTATCCGAGAAGTAACCCAAGGGTAAGGCTGCCTTGTTCACACCTCTACATAGCCTAGTATACTGTCAATATGCTAAATATGCCCAATCTCAATGATGATTAAAGAATAGAAACTTAGCCTAATTTTTTCCAGCAGAGTAGTTATGGTTGTTATTTTTGCCAATCTTTATGCTGAGAAGACAAGGATGTAGGTGATCACAGCTGAGTGACATAAGTCTGGGTGAACGGCATATGATGGGCATTCTCTGTATAGTCACTTCAATTTTGCTCTAGATTTTGGAATTACTGCAAACTACAAAATGAGAAAAGACTTACTAAAAAGGAAGGATAAAAACTAGCAATAGCTGGGCCGGGGATTTAGCTCAGTGGTTTCGCCGCCTGCTGTGCAAACACAAGGACCCGAGTTCGAGCCCCAGTACCAGTACCAAAAAAAAAAAAAAAAAAGGCAGCACTAGCTGAAATGGAACCATTACAGGGTCTCCCAACCACTCACCATCTCTGATCCAATCACAAAAAATATCTAAACTAAAAAAATGTTAGGAATCTAGATAATACAAACTGGGTACAAGTATGCTGATCATAATGCAATGATCAGAATGGGGAGGTAGTACAATACTTGGGGAATGTTAAGGAAACTACTCATAGCTCACGGTCACAGTCACAACTACTTCTCCAGCCAGGGGTGTGTGATATGACCCCATACACATGCTGGGAAATACGGGCAGGTGGCCTCTGAAGGGAGGGGACTGAGGATGGTTGTGTTTTTATTACTTTCTTAGATGTAATAACTCAAACAGAAAAAGGCCATGGGGAAATTCATTAAGCTGTGGGCAGTTATTTTCAGAAGATGGCAATTTATGTAGTATTGCTATATTTGCCTGTGTTTTCTCTATACTCTGTAACAAGCAGATGTGGGTTTTATAATGAGGAAAGTAGAAGGAAACAGACAAAAGTGACAGGCTACAGACTACTATGTTAGGCTGCAGTAAGATGGAAGACAGTGGGTGGAAAAAGAAAATGGACCTAGGAAACCATCAAATGGGTGTTTGGTAAGAAAAAGGAAGGATATGAAAAAAAGAAAAAAAGAAACAGTCTTTGTAAATAGGGAGGGGTGGAGGGTTGAAGGGAGGGCACCGGAATGGGGAAAAAACATAAGATCATGTAAAGGTACAAATTCCCGATGATGAATGTCATCATATTGTATACCTAAAACGTACCAATAAACTTAATGAATAAATAAATAAATATAAAGAAAAAGGAAGTAGAAAAGGAGAGAGTTCAAGAGAGGAAAAAAATGACAAGTGAGTTTGGATAAGGTATTGCAGTGGCCATATGGGCCGAAGAGCAGCCCTTGCCCATGAGCAGGCTTCACTCTGGGCTCTGTACATTGAGGCGCACAGGGAGGCAGACAGGTCCAGGTCCCTGACTCCCAAGATCCCTAAGGTACAGCCACTTACACAGCATATGCCTCCAAGACCTGAAACTGAAAACTCTATCAAGTCACGTGTCACTAGAGTTGCTATAGCCCTAGAACGGTACCTATCAGTCATAGGCAGGCTGTTAGGTTATGAACAACGCTCCCTGGAAGGACCAGGTAGGCTGAGACCTGTCACCAAGATAAACAGAAGGGGCTAGATGAGGTCAAGCTCATCCATCCACCCCAATAACAGTACCTGTGTAATGATCATTTTGGAGTGATGCTACATGACAAATCAAAGAATGGGAAAACATTTTTCAGTTATATCTGCAATTATTTTTTAGCCCAAATGCTAGTAGGTTTCTTTCCTCAGTATTTCTGTGTAAGTGCTGCTCATATTTGCATATGTACCTCCTACCATTTAAAAAAAAAAATTTGAGATGGGAGTCTGAGTTGCCCAGGCCTGTCTGGAACTCATGGACTCAAGTGATCCTCCTACATCAACTTCCTGAGCATCTGGGATTACAAGTGCATGCCCCTATACCTAGCTACTTCCTATCCTCTTCAACTTTGTCAATCTCTACCAGTTACACCTAAACTGCTGAGGCTCTTAGGAAAAGTATATCATTTCCACCTAATGAGGAAACACACCAACTAAGGGCCCAGGATGAGACTCAGTGGGCACTAGGACAGCTCAAAAGTTCAAACCTGTTTGATGCCTGGACTGGCCATCACCCTGCTCCATGGCCTTGGGGCAGGATGTGGTCTGTTGTTACTTCTCCAACTGTCTAGCTCAGACTCCCCACCACAGCACTGAATAAGGCATAGAGAGACAGCGTGATAGGAAGCCTGACTCCCAGTGAGCAGTCTCACTCAGAGTTTTCCAGCCATAACAGGGTTTGGATTTCTTGCCCTGGCTCCAAACAGGAGCTGAGTTGGTACTCACCATAGGCTGTCCAGGGTCTGAAAATTTCACTTTAATATCTTGCAGATGTTTCAAGATTGGCTCATCATATTCCTAAAAAAAAAAAATAAATTCCAGTGGGTTTTTCTTGTTTTTTGAGACAGGGTCTCACTACGTAATTCAGACTGGCTTTGTACTCACTTTGGAGCCTAGGCTGGCCTCAAACTTGCAGTGATCTTTGTCTCTCAGCCTCCTGAGTGCAGGAATTACAGGCGTGTACCACCACACCTGGCCTCCAATGGGTTTTAAGAAAACAATCCACATCTCATGTCACGTATATACTCCTAGATGTTGGAAAATTGGGACCTACTAAAATTTTGCTCTCATCAATTCAAAACTTCCAGGAAGCAACCCAAATCTATCCACAGACCATGTGTCTTTGTATGGTACAGACCATGTGTCTTTGTATGGTAGCAATGATGTACCAAGAATCAGGCACCATTTCTTTTGGTTGTTTTTTTTTTTTTTTTTAAAGCCAGGGTCTCACTATGTAGTTCAGGCTGGCCTTGAACTCACTATGTACCCCAGCCTGGCCTCGAACTTGCAGCAATCCCCCTGCCTCAGCCTCCCAAGTGCTGGGATTATAGGTTTTCGCCACCATGCCCGATCACCATTTCTCCTTGGCCTAGGACAATGATGACCATCCATAACAGCAACAGGGCAGCACCTTCTATACCTGCCTGCCTCCAACAGAGCCAACCTCACTGCTCTCCTACAATCATGACATACAGAGAACAGAAGTACCACTACCCAAGACTGCTGGCACTCAGAATCCTGGGGGACACAGAGTAGAAGCCAAGAAATCAGATGCTGTTGGCCTTCGAGGTCAGTTTTCCCACCTGTGGCAAGAAATATCCCACATCCCTAGCACATAGTCATTCCCTCAAACACACTTACATAGCACATGTAAAGTCCCATCTTCAAGAGCTTATGATTCCTATATGTGCTTTTATAAGTGACCAATATTTAACACCAAAACCTGTCATCTCAAGATTCCACAAGAGAAAAAGCAGGAAATGAATTCTAAGACTTCTGTGACTGCACACTAGTGACAGGTGCTTCCTTTGTAACATGGAATCACTTCTTTACTCCTGAAGTTTGGCAATGAGCCCAAGATTCTGTAAGGTTCCATTAAGTCTTAGTAGAGCCTGATAACTGTAGACTTTCATATTTTAAGTTCTTTTGACATTATTAAAAGAAACAAAACAAGCAACACAAAAAGACACCTAGTGGGCTGGGGATTTAGCTCAGTGGTTTTGCCGCCTGCTGTA